CTTTTTCCTCCATCCACATTGTTGTGCATCCTCTTTCATCACTCAATGAGCTACATTTTGAGGCATCTTCTCTTGGATGATTCATTGTTGGACGATGAACTCATCGTTGCTGTAGCAATAGTCGCACAAGATAAATATGAGCAGTCGGATCCTCCACTACGATGTGGTTCTGTTCCTGTTCAAATGCTCCACAGCGGGGTGCGAGTGTGGGCACGGGGCGACGCTTGGCTGCCGTAGCAGCCTAGGGAATCGGTGGCGCAGCGGGTGCCAACCCAAAACCCATCCCCACCTCCTAATCTGGTACACTCCTTCCTCTCTACCTCCACTCCTCCACGGCTCCACCAGCCAATGTCCCGCTACTGCCACCATCATTGTAAAAAAAGAATGACAACAATGACAATAATGGACAAGGGGTTGCTCCGTCAATCTGAATCGGGATAGCTCGGTCTAGAGGTGGCGGTTGCGATATGGCGTGAGGGGAGAGGAACGCTAAAATTTAACGTTTCTCTTTGGGATAGCACACACGTGCCCACATAGCGTATCTGCTGGAGCTGGTTTTTTTTCCCTATGCTATTTCATCGATGAAGGACTGGATATAGTATCCGTTCGAATTGCTCTTAGGCCCAGTTCTATTCAACAACTGAAACTAACTTACTTGTTATCCGATACGACGCTTTTCAAACTATTAAATGATGCGATTTTTGTAAAAAAAATTATATATAGAAGTTGTTTAAAAAATTTAAATAAATATATTTTTCACCTTTATAATTATTAATATTTAATTAATTATGTGCTAATGAGATTCCTCGTTTTACGTGTGGTACAAATCTTCCTCCTCCACCTGCAATCGAACGAAGCCTTACTTTCCTAGATATTCTAGTGTAAATCAAGTATGTTGACTTGGAAGGAAGTTCCAACACTTTTTCGTAAGAAATAACATGATCTCTCCGACGGAAAGGAAATGTCTTTGCATCCAATAAATTCTAATGAGCTAAAACTTTCCTGTAGTCGAACCATCCAATTTTTCATCATTCCTTTTATGCATTTTTTAAAGTTTTTTTTCATTTACAGTTCATCTCATTCATGTGTTTGTTTTCCATTTCTGTACTTTCCATCCCTGTGCGGCCTAATTCTGCCCAAATTAATGGCAATGCCTTTTTTTTCCCTACTGAGAGAGATTTTTTTTTCCGTGGAATAAGGGAGCTCTATTTTTCAATGCCATTTTCTTTTCAATGTCAAATTAATGGTATTGAAAAAAAAATGCTGGATCCTCGAGCAATCACTGCTCCGTGCCAAGTCCAAGCTTAGTTTTTGCCCCATACCTCGTGCGCGATTCGAAACTTTTTGAATTTTGAATTTTGAACCTTGAAGGCGAGTAGAGTTCAAATTCCAACGTAGTACTACTAGTAGTATCCGCCGCGGTACACAGCACGAGGACGAGGGGGGGGGGGGTTAAAGCTCAAATCAAATGAGCATCCAAAGAACCACACCAGGGGGGAGCACTATGGCCGTGGGCCCCACCTACGCGCTCCCGGCCCTATGGCCCACCCGAATACATCGCACTCGGGCGGGGGGACACGCCAGGACGAGTCCACACCGCACCGGGGCCCCACCTGTCACTGACCAGCAGCTCGTGCTGGGGGGGAGCAGCCTCCCGCTGACGTGGCGTCCGGGTTTACCATACCACTCGCACCAACAGGAAGGCTGGCTGGTGGTCCCCACCCGTCATCCCACCGACAGGGCGGTGCACCGGGGAGACACCGACATGCGGGCCCCACTGACCGGCCGTGGTGTCCGGCTCACGGCGAGGTCGGTCCACGCGGGTGCGGGCCGGGCCGCGGGCGAGAGAACCCTAGCCAACCACGTCACTGTCCACGTCACGCCGACCAAATAATATAAAGCGGCACCCATCGCCTCAGCGCCTCCCTCTCTCTCGAGTCTCCCGTCTCCTTTCCCCTCCTTCCTCCTCCCCTTTCGTCTTAGCCTCAGCTCGCCGCGAGACGAATCCTCCCCTCGCCGCCGCCGGGTCCGATCGACGGCGGTATCGAGGGACGGAGGGGGCGCGCCCGTTCTCTCGCCGTACACCGTCGTCGCCGACCGGCTCCCTCGACGGCACGGTAAAATAAAAAATAAAAAGCCTCCTCCTCCTCCTCCTCCCCTATGATGGCGGATGCGGCGGCGGGGGGGCGGGCCGATCTGGACGCCGTTGACCCGCCCGATTCGGCTCGGTCGCATCCCCCCGTGCGCGCGTTTACTGGGAGGATCTGTTGTATTTGGACGTTTTAGACTGGATCGAGTGAGGGGGATTTTGCGGTGTTCTTGCTGTGACGGGATTCAGCTATGTAGGTGTAGGAATCTTATGTTAACTTGTTGGGTGGCTCTGCTGCTTCTGATTCTTTCTGTGAATCTGGAGTAACAAATTCTTTCTGTGAATCTGGAGTAACAAGGACTTGTGCTATGGCCGATCTCTACTTTTAGTACTTCGTTATGTTCTATACGGCATAGGAGTCCATCTCTCGATAGATAAGAGTTCTCTGATTTTGGATGGGGATTTGCTTGATGGATCCGGAGTCATATAACATGTTTGCAAAAAAAGAAAAAGGAGGAGTCCATCTCTCGATAGATAAGAGTTCTCTGATTTTGGATGGGGATTTGCTTGATGGATCCGGAGTCATATAACATGTTTGCAAAAAAAGAAAAAGGAAAAATGATTTAGTTTGTGTTCTGTCATGTATAACCCTTGTTTCTACAAAGATGTACTAGTTTGCGATCTGATTAAGCATCTCATGCTTTCTCGCTTTGATTCTCTTTCAGAGTTTGAAGTTGGAAATCAACCTTGTTGTTCTCTGTAGCGCTTTCCTTTGGATTGCGGAGAATTTCAAACAAAACCAACAAACCTTTGCATCTGACTGACTTGAGGTAACTATGCCAAAGGACAGGAGCACCCGTGCCGTGTCATACGAGCGCCGCCGGTCTCGTGTTTCGCCGTACCCCTCCAATGGGAAGGGCTGTGCTCGCAGGTCAGAGGAGTCTGCTGCTGCTGCCGCTGCCGCTGCCGCGAAGCAGGCTGCGGAATGGGAGGATGTCCGCTGCCCGGTCTGCATGGATCACCCACACAACGCTGTTCTGCTCGTCTGCTCGTCGCATGAGAAGGGCTGCCGCCCTTTCATGTGCGACACAAGCTACCGACACTCCAATTGCTTTGATCAGTACCGCAAGGCCTCTAAGGAGTCCTCAAAGGATTCTGGTGCCAGTGCTGCTGCTGCGCCAGAATGCAGCGAGTGCCAGCAGCCCATAAAACTGTCTTGCCCGTTGTGTCGTGGGCCAGTCAGCCATTGGACAAAGGATTATGATGCACGGAAGTACTTGAACGTGAAGGTTCGAGCATGTACTAAAGAGTCCTGCGAGTTCAGGGGGGCATACGGTCAACTGAGGAGACACGCCAGGGAGAACCATCCTACTGTTAGACCAACTCAGGTGGATCCTGAACGGCAGCGAGACTGGCACAGAATGGAGCAGCAGCGTGATCTTGGGGACTTGTTCAGCATGCTTCGTTCAGGCTTAAGTGCCAGGGAGGACGGGATCGGAGTCAGTGAAGGGGAAGAGGATATCAGCGAGAGGGCTCTACATAGCCCATCTATAACAATGGTCTTCATTGTGCGCACTGGCAGGTCGATACTCCACTACAGGGAAGCATTCCCAGGCCACCACAGAAGAAGAACAATTCTTCTGCTTGGGGAGGCTTTTGGTCGTGAATCCTCCCCATTAGGGGGAGCAAGTGGCAGTGGTGATGGTGACACCACAGCTCGCGAAAATGATGAAGGTGATGACGACGTCACGCTATCAACAGAGGCATCGGCTGGTTCTCAGCATGATGGTGAAGTCGATGGTGATCCTGCACATTGATGCAGCTGGTAGGGAGTGCCAAGGCGTGCACCTGGACTGAAAAGCTCTACAAGCAAGCAATCTTTCGGGTTCACCAGGCATCCAAGACCACATGTTGGGAAGAAACATGGGGGTGTTCCATTTGGCTTTAGGCGTAGTCAGGACATCCTGCCTACGTGCAAGAAGAACTGAGATGAAATTGCAATGCAGGGATAGGCTCAAAACCGCTGTGGAGTTGTCTTAGTTTCATTTTTAATATATTTGCTGGAAGGTCTGTAGCAAACAGAAACATCAATGGTGGTGGTGTATTTATCATGTCCACGGCTAGGACTTGGGTGAATTCAATTCACTGCGTTGTAATTTGATCTCTGAAATATATTCTTTCTGCGTTGATGAATCTGATCATGTTAAAGCAGAAATTTGATGTATATTTATGTATATAGGTGCACTTTGGTTCCTTCTACATTGAAGAATTCGGTCATATGCTCCTGAAAGTTGTGCTGTGTTCGTCAGACCATATTGTTTGGACATGAGCTGCTCTTTGTGGGCTTAGGCGCGTAGCCTTAACTTGTCTTCTTGTTGATTAGAAAAATTGGATGGACACTTCTATCATATGTATAATACAATCGATAGACTCTACTTTGTGCATTAATAGACATACAGCAAAAAACAATATTTGAAGCTGTGTCAGTTTCTGTATTCGATGGCAGGCTGCATCTGCGTCTAATCCTCTTCAACGGTTCAGTATGGGCCAAGAGGAACCGCCATCTCTGCCGTTGCAACAAGAGTAGTTACTGCCTCCAATGGTATGGAAGGAAACTGACGCCCATTGATCCACCATCTGAGCACACTGAATTTCATTTCCTTCTTTTTCTGTGAAAAATCCTACGAATAGAATTAACTCTCTAAAAACTACTGAAAATATTTCTATGTTTGACCTGTAGGCATACAGCTTTCTCTTCTTCTCCCCCCATTTCTTGAACTGCAGATACTGTGAGTGCTTCAGCAACATGTGGTTTTGCTCCAAGCTGATACTGAAGAAGCCTTAGGCATTCAGACCAAAGATCGTCGATGTCAGTGCAAATGGCTTAGCCGATTCGGCTGTGGTAAGTGCCAATACCTGATTCTACACTGTGTTTTCTTGTTCAGTTAGGCTCAGGTTATTGTTCTGAATCTTTGGATGAACAGGATGGTGGCGAGCGTGAGGAACCAAGTGAAGGGATGCGCTTGCTGTAAGTCTGGATGCAGGAAGCTTTACTGTGAGTGCCTTCAAGGTAAACGGAATTACGTACGGATGCGCTACTGTCCTTTGATGCTTATTTTGTGATGATCGTGTCGTGCAAATCTTACGTTCGCTTTGTGATTTGAAAAACAAAGTTGCGTGTACCGCGAGATGCCATTGCAGAGGGTGTGGCAGAATGCAAAAGATGGTGAGTGCTGCATCAGACGTTTATTCATGTTCCTTAGCATATTTTCTTTCTTTCTTTCTTAGTTTCTTTCTCTTTTTTTTTTGGGTTTTCTAATGGTTAAGTTTTTTCTTTAATGTCAGTGACTGACACAGATATACAACGATTTGATGACAATGGCGATTCTAGTGGGACATCTGGCTATTCCAGTGGAACAATAATGGGACAGTACAAATTGTAGACGACAAGAGGCATTGGCCAACACAATCAAGTATGATGGAAAAAAATATTATAGTTGGCTGTCCTTGGAATGTTGATCCATATAATTCGTAACTGTCCTTGTGTGTTGAACTTCAACTAGTAAAGTTTGATAACTAGAAAAGGCGGTGGTTTGATTCTTTGATGTGATAATCATCTTGGTGATCTATTTATGCACCTGTTCTACTGTTTAGCCTATTTTCATTTAGTTGCTTGAAATTCTATGGTTGTACGATATACAGTATTTTTATGATGTGTAATGTGTTCACGATTAGTCAATATTTTTATGATTTGTTCCTTTGTGCAGTGATGATGGCCTTGAGATCAGAAGGTTTCTCAAACATATTGGTGATGGAGATTACTTTCAGCAAAATGGTCACCCCCTAAACAAACCACCTTCAAGAACATAGGTATGTCTGCTGCTGAAAGATTATCTATACTTTAGACAGCTCATAGTAACACCTTATCATCTTATCTTGTTATGATTTATGAATTATGATACCTTGAAATTGTGATAAAATCGTACGGTTAATTTTTAAATCTCTCATCTTTTGTTGGTCCAGGGGACTATGATATCATGTAACGAAGTACACTAACATGATCTAGAGCACAAATATATTATGACTGCAAGATTAGTGAGGCTCGATAGCATTAGTAACGAAAGTATCAAACAAGCAATACAATACTACATTATACGCATCCCTCTTTAGCGGTAACAAAGTACATCAGTAGAAAACTACAACTGTAACGTGGTATGCAGTTGTTTGGAAAACACATAGTGTTACATATGCTACCAAAGCCATGACTGTCACAATTCACATATCCTAATCAACCTTCTCCTGTATATTGTCAATACCTTCTTCTCTTATACATCACTACCAAAGCCACTGAACCGGGTTCATATTTTCGAATTAGCCGCGGGATCGGTCAAGTCCCAGCCTTGAACTGAGCCACTTGCAGACATCGTCCATTTCTTCAGGGATGGTATAATGCCCCAGGCTGTGTAAATGGCATCATGTTAGTTATTCTAGTTTTCAGAGAAAAAAATGAAGATGGGGAAAATTAAGTAAGTGTGTCTATACCCGTTGTAGGGTTTAAAATTCAGATACTGAAAACCCGAGCCTCGCAGGAAATCGGCTGATTTCTCACCATTTCTGTAGGTGACAACCTCATCAGCTGCAAAGGCAAAAATAAGTAGAACATTTTTAGCATCATTACATTTTATACACATCTAGTTCAAAACGATTGCATTGCTCACCTCTTCCATGGCTGAGCAGGATTGGTAAGGCACCAGCCCTTCTCAGTGCAGTCTGAGAGCTGTCCATCTTGCTCTTCAGAGTCCTAAATAAGAACACATGAAGAACATCACTTGTAAGGAAATCATTGCAAATTAAATTATTATTATCATTTTCCAAAACGATCGAAGAATAGAATCAGACCTTGAACAGGGAAGCCAACCGCTCAAACCGATGACGGCGCTGAGGGTGACCGGGTAGGCAACGCCGTTTGTGAATCTTCCATGAGCATAGCATGCAGCAGAGTGGAGGGCAGCGGCAGCACCCATGCTGAAACCACCTATCCCAAGCTTCACTGAAATTTGAAATTCCACCAAAGATCAGTAAGACAAATACAGAGTATTCTAAAGCTTATTTAATATTTTCACATTTTTTTTCCTTTTGTTCTGTAATTATGGTACAATTCTGAAAATGTACCATCAGATGGCTCGGATGACAGTAGGTTTGCAACGTGTGCAGCTGAAGCATCAAGCCCTTCAATATCATCACGGCCATCCACGGAAGTGTCCTCCACATCAAACCCTGTTTCAATTTCAGTAAAAAGGAGAACGGCAATATCAGAATCTGTAGCCAGGTTGCAGCAAAAGAAATGGCCTAGAAAATTAGGAAAGCAAAGCTGCATGCTTCTTTTTTTCTTTTTTTTTTCTTTTTTTTTCTTTTTGGCCAAGTCATAAATGGTTCAGAAACCCACATGCTGTGCAAGGGAATCCACCGAAAGCAGCAACAGGGCGTGTTGGTGCAGTAGGGCAAATCCATTTGATCTGCATAAGGATGGTATAAGCTTGAGAGTTAATAAACTTAGAACTAGCATGAACAATGCTATTGCTAAAAATCTTTTTAAAAAATTGCTATGGCTAACCTAGTGATTCAGATAAGTTACATTAATTTGAAGAGATAACAGAATGAACAAGTCTATACATGCATTATTGTGCCCATTTGGAATAGGGATAGGAATAGAAATAAGATTGTAGGTGAAGATGGTTGTGTGCATGATTGATTCAACTGCAAAGTGAGAGTGCAGTATGGTATCTTACATTAGGCAGAGGAAGAGAATCCAGTAGCTGGGACCAGCTGCAGAAGATAAAATTATGAAAAAGAAACAAGAAACAAGATTAGGCCAGTGTTTCAAGAAAAAGTACATGTTACAGCTAGTCAGCAACTTGTGTAGAGATATTTCAGTGCTGTGCTGGCTTTCTATCAAAACTATAGCTTCATCTAATGACATTAACATGTCAACAAAAGAAGGGTTATCAGAAAGTAATGGAGAATAAAAGAAGTAAAGAGTGAGGAAAGAATAAAACATGACATAGCACAACACTGGATCAAACTAAGGCAGCTAATGAGCTGGCTAGAGCACATATGTATATATAATTAAGTTTTTTCTTGTGTTCTCCTGAAAGTTCCAGGTAGTAGTACAATCGTCTTATTAATGAAATATGCCATTGTAATTCAGTACTGATGGGAAAAGCAAAGAAGTGGGAAGAGAACATTTGAAGCAGACACTTGACAGTTGACACATGCATATTGAACTCAGAAAAAGAAAATTAATGGCTAGCATATTCTATGCTTTTGCTGCCAAAACCCATAGAAGAGAAACAATGCCAAAAAAACTTATGTTATTTAATGCAACATCACAAAACTGAGGTGCTCCATGCATCCTTGTTGGCAGACAGAACCTTGCATGAAGCATGAGGTAATTAATCCACATCTATCTCTTCTATATTTAATCAACATATTGGTCCTTCAACAATGGATTCTTGCATTCGTGTTTCTACACCCTTTCGTGGTAAGAGAAACCAAAGAAACTATTTTAATCCCTCAAGGTTATATGCTATTATTATTTTTTGCATGTGGTTCAGATAGAAACAAGATATTTTGAAATAAAAAAAAAGAGAGAATATAACCGATCATCTTACACACCCTTCACAAACATGCAAGTTCAAATGTTTATATCTACATCGTTTAATTTTCTAAAGAATACAATGTTTCATAACTGTTAATTTGAACGGTGTGTACCACCCCCTTGAGGGATTAATTAAAAACAAGCCTCTTAACGAACCACACAAATAATAACTCACACTCCAACTACAGTTATAGTTTTGTGTTTAATTTAAGATACGTGGATTATTTGTCATAAGACACATAGATGGCAATTAAAACCATCAAGTGTAACTCTAAACAAGTAGTGAGTGGCAGATGGCCAATATATATTCCAACTGGTTAATTTTCTTTTCGCAAACATCGGCATCGTCTAGCTACCTCCATCCTTCTCGATCTACAGGAAATTTTTGTGAGGTCGGGGAGCAGAGACAGAGAGAGAATAGGACAATTGGAGATGATGCATGATCAGGCTTTAATTCGGAGGTAAAAAGCAATCCTAGGAATATATGCATGGACAGAAATGGCGAGGCCGAATCCATCGTTTCTAGCAAAAAAATAAAGGGGCATCGATCGAGTTACAGTACAACGTCGGGGGAGAGAGAATAAAGCGATTAATTGGGTGCAGATATCAACATCTTGACAGCCTAACCTAAGCTAGTTCATTCGTTCGTGTTCCCCATGTCAATCTAGATCGTCCCATCCATCTCTGTTTGTTGCATTCATACTAAACACTTGCAGCTATAGCTAGTGAAGCTACCACCAATCTTTCTGAACCACTCCCTCCTTTTTACTTTTATAATATACATGTATATGACCTTTGGTGAATTCAGGTCATATATAAGTATATAAAAAAGGAGTGAGTATAGTAGTAGTTGTGATAAAATCTGTGTACTACTAGGACATTTAAAAATTAAAAACTGGGAGCGTGTAGTAGTAGTACAAGTTTGCATATTTTTGGTCGTGTGTAATATAATTATTAAGCTGTGGAAGAAAGAAGTCATCATCTCGAGATCGAGAGAGAGAACTCTAGAGAAGTGATGATGGGTTACCTTGCGCCATTGTCGCCGAGGCCATGGAGCCACACAATGGTGGCCTGGTGCCTCCCCTTGGGCCTCACCACGTACGTCCTCCCGTACTCCACCCGCCGCCCGCCTCGCCCCCCTGCACGCATTCCATTCGATCGTTCGTCAGCACACGCCGGCGGCGGAGAAAGAAGACACGAAGAAGCAAAGAAAGAAAAAAGAGAGGAAGTGAGAGAGAGACCAGAAGAGCTGCTCCCGTAGCTCATGGCCGGCGACCAAGAAGCTTGAGAGAACTAGTACTGCAGGTGATCGATCGATCGCTGGAGGATGGTGAATTTGGCTGCTGCTGCTGCTGATGGATATGTATAGCTCTGGATCGAGGAGAAAGCGGTGGAAGTACGAAGAGCACAGGCGGCCCGTATTTATAGAGCGGCGACGACGAGGAAGACGACGTGGTGAATATGTGAATCGCGCGGGCGCGCACCCGGTAATCAACAGTTGGCGGCGGCTGGTAGGTTGGCTCGCTAGCTGTCTGTCGCTGGGAGAGGGGGGAATAATAATCCATGACCTCTAGCATACGTAATGCGTGCCGGAATGAGATAAACGTTCATTCAGTTATTTGCCAACTTAGGATGGAGATTTTACAAATATACCTGAATAAAATGTCTTTTCTAACTTGTGTTGGTATTAGTATTAGTTATTGTCTAGTCATTTCCTGGTTTTTATGCGCTGTCTATTGAGCGCATCATAAGTGGTAGTAGCTTCTTTGAAGTAAAGGCCGGGATTCTTTGCATTATTAAAGGGAGTAGATATATTTATGGCGCCATATTTTTCAACAAAAAATAGTCGGCATGTATTTACATTGTAAGTATCTAAATTATATATGTAATTTTATTGTATTTAGTATGTAAGTCTCAAAATTACCTATGTAAGTGTTTAAATTACATATGTAATTTTAGTGTATTTAGGATGTAAGTCCCAAAATTACATATGTAAGTGCCTAAATTACATATGTAATTTTAGTGTATTTAGGATGTAAGTCCCAAAATTACATATGTAAGTGTCTAAATAACATATGCAATATAATCGCAACAAAAAGAAGAGGGAAGCTCACAAATCATAGGTCCGTTTGGAGAAAAGAAAGAAGCTAGCAAAGTAGAAAATAATTACTCACAAAATCACATGTCCCTTTGAGTATTTGTAACAAAGTAATCAAGTGATGAAGTCATCCTTGATATACACCTCGACAAAATCAATCAGCGTGGGAAGCTAAGCACGGACATCAAGGGAGATCCTACCACTAGAAAAAACGACTGTTTTTTCCTCAAAAAACATGCGCCATAAATATAGCAATACCGTTATTAAAAAGTTAGCACACGTACACACGAGGGAGGGCAAAAAAATTTTAAAAAAGAAAGATCAGGGGCTTTTGCCTTTTGCTACCTCAGGATGGGGATGGGGGAGGTGGCAGCCTGCAGGCATTGGCAGTGGAGGGTCTCTTAATGTATGTAAATTCATTGGTGTAATGGTGTGTGGGTGGCGTGTAAGTAGGGATGAAAAACGGTGCCGGAAATTCCCGACTGAGCGGCTATTATTCCCAATTTTGTTTTGCTGATCAAACCATCTTGAAATCAAATGGCTACCAATCAACAAAAATAGAAAAGCAAGTGGTAAAAATGAAATGTGCAAACTGAAATGGTTTTGATGTTTGACCAACCATTTACTTGGTTTACCGTATTTTTCACAGATATTGTTACCGTGTTTATAATATGGAAATTGTCATATTTCTAAATAAATCAGTTCATGTAGTTCAAGGCCTATAGGTTTTACTCTAACTCCCCCACTAAACCCTATATATTTTTAGCACACGGTTAAAAGCGAGGCAACTCACAATTAGTGTTGTAAGCATGAACTAACGTGGTATATAGTCATTCTAAATTACATATGTGATTTTGTACTTCAGAATTTCTTCTGATTGATTTTCCGTTTTTGATTTCCTGATTTTTCTATATCATTTTCATTTCTAGCTCTACTGTTTTCAATTATGTTTCTAAGAAGAAAATGTTACGGAAATGGGTAAGGCTGTTTTTCAACTATTTTCATCCCTGAGTGTAAGGATTGTAAAAGCACAAGAATTAACAGAAAAATAAGGAACAATCCTTAGGAACAAAATGGCCTCATGGGATTTCAAGACACACAAGTTAAGTTTAGGGCCGGTATGTTTTTGGAAATCAATGTTTCTCCGAAGGGTCTTTCTAAAAATATAGTGATAGATTTTTTAGGTAAAAATATGTCAAATGTAATTATAGTATAAATCTAATGTAATTACATATGTGAATTAGTGTAATTACATATGTAATTTTGAAACTTACATTGTAAATACACTAAATACATGCTGATTATTTTTTCATGAAAAATATGGCGACACATTTATAGCAAATCCGTTCTCCGAAATAGGGTGTGAGAGAGAAACATAACTCATGTTTCTTTTGAGCATAGGAATACACAACATATGAATTTGACAACACATTCATACGTTTCAAACTTTCTTGTGGGAAAAGAAATCCAAAATTCCCAACAAAAACCTTACAAATCTGGGCCTCGTTTGGAATGCAGATTTTTTTTCTCGAATCATGTTAGATTCAAAAAGATTCTTGTGGAAACCCTGTGAATTTCCTATAAAGTCCCTACAAATTCTTATGTCCAAAGGTGGCCCAAAGAGACCCTGGGGTGAGCTTTCTCCTGTGCAAAGGATAAGCATGGGAAAATAGTCCTGTAGTTCATGGGTCCTATGCACAAAATGGTTAGGAGGTTAATTGTCAGCACCACACTATGCAGCCCATCTGAGTAGGCCCCAAACCCTGCAAGATTATTTTCCATGAGCATGGCATGTATTTAGGCAGGGAGAATAGATTCAATCCTTGGCAGTGGAGAGAGAACCGAAATATATAAATACTACTTAGTACCCCTTTTATAACCACCCAATTTCTCATCTTGGTGTCTTGATAAGATACTAATGCCCACTAATTTAGCATCACAAGTCCTAAATAGTATTATATACAACATAAATACAAATGCTAAGGAATAAGCATAAGTGTTTTTTTTCTATCCCTTTGTCTCTCTAGAGAAAGAAAAAGAAAATAAAGGTACATAGTGAATGTCTCACTCTCAGTACCTAAGGAAGGTTCTTGTTAACACAAATGCTCCATATCTAGTAGGAAAAGGCATCTTTTGTTGTAGAATGTTTGTGCACAGGAGGAAGCTTGTTGTTCATGCTCCTTCCTAGTTCCTATCATAATGTGATAAAAAAATTCAAAATTACTGCTGCACATGGAAGCAAGTACTGTGCAGGTAAAAATACAGAACAACTGTAGATTTTCAGAAGCAATTTCGGTAATATATATATATACAGAACTCCCTGTAGAGTTTCAGGAGCAATTTTCAGTAGAGTACTCCACATAGAGTTTCAGGAGTACTAGACAGATAAAGTGAAGATTGCCATAGCAAGGAAGATTCCAGAAATATCTCGAATGTGTCGACACTAAAACAGCACTTATATGATATATCACCCCCAACTTGGCACAATTGCAGGCATAATCATATCATTGACATGGCGGCGCTGATCCTCAAGGTATTGATACTGAACGAAGAACAGCAAAATGAACTGCTCACCACAAAGCATGCACAGGTATGTGATAACTGACAGGAACACTTAACTGTAAATTGCCCATCAAGAGAAACTACAAGGACCTATTCTTTCGTTATAAATCTCATCAAGTTTTACATCGACGATCTGCCAAAAAAATATTCCTCAGCAGCATACCTGCTTCTCCTTTGAGGCAAGCTTTTCTAACAAACTGCTATTCTTAGGTTCGGCTTGCGAAAAAAGTGACGTAACTTTGGCCAGGGTTGCTTTCAGTGTAGAGAGGTAGGCAGTAGGCTTTGATCCCCTCTCGACGATGGAAATTTAAAAGGGATTAAACAAAGAGCTAAGTCAAATCTAAACAAAACCCCTGGGGAATTTGTGATAGAAGAATGATGCAAAGCTCTGCACATTTGCACCTAGTTTTTCCCTCCCGTGTAAGCTCCACTACACACAGGAAGAATCATATGCACTTCACCTCTGTATTTTCTATGCATTGAGATTAGCAGTGTGGGAGGCAGCTTGAGGCTAAACTATGTGGGCTATGTGAGATTTTTGTCCCTATATGTTATTTTTTTTATTCTTTTTAGTGTAGTCCCTATCTGAGCTTGAGAGATTAGAGTCTACATAGATTAGGGACTAGGTGAAGTTTCTCACTGAAACACTTGCTTATTAACTACCTAATCCTTTCTCCATGCTAGAGATTATAGGCCATGATTGTGTTCTGTCAGAAGGCTTGGGGCCTGCATATTCCATATGTAGCATACCTTTCTTCTAATTGCATATGCTCCTATGAAACGTGAGGCATCCATAAAGTTTAATACAATTATATTCTGAAAAGGTCGTAGCTAGCACAGAAATTTCAGACAATTGTCGTTGCTGAAAATATTACAGTTTGTCGGTTACGGGGAACAGCATACGCAACTAGCACAAATATTCTATAATTATCTCTTTTCTTGTAAACATTTCATGGATGGTTAAGTACATGAGATCCATGATTTTACTCTATATAAAAAAAATCCCCCCTTTCAGTAAAACCTAATTCATATGTAGAAAACGAGGGCCAGAGGTTCCTTGAGAAAAAGAAGAAGAATCCAACGTTGTATTTAGATGTCATGTCATAGCTAGCTCCGGTTTACTTTTCAAGCATCCCCTTTGTTACAGAAATACAGTATTGTTATGTACTATATGTTTCTTTCAAAATATTACTTTCACATATTTTAACAAGATTCGAAGTAACGCACACACTGTTTTGCATTTTCTGCTGAAACCAGGATGGTCTGACTCTGAAGATTCTGTCCTAAGCACGTAAATACTGAAGGTTATTTTTTTTCCCCAACGGGGCCGTGTTCTTACAGTTGTCAAAATGGGTTTGAAATGAATGGTCGTGCTCATACATAAAACACGGTTTCATGTAAAGAAATGCTCATGTCCGTCTCATCAGAAATACTTTTGAAATCTGACAGCAATATTCTCTGGGTTCTGATTGCCTGTGTCGTTAGGTACGGTTCCCTGGTTCATCATCTCGCACTGAACAACACAACGGAAAGATAATTTACTGTATGAATTGAGTCCACGTCAAGGGCCTAATTAACACAAGTCAGCGGCCAGAACGCAACTTGGAATGATGCAGAAATAAAGAGAGATATTTGAGGCCAGCATTGTGTCAAGAAGGAATAATGCCACCAGAAAAGACTCCAAATCTTCCTGCCGGTTGCAATTGCACGATCACACCTGAAAAACTCGAGAGAAAAAACTTTGCTTCCGTACTCTCTTCCACTTATTAATCATATATGTGATTTTTATTTTATGTGTACAATTTGTCCTCTTTTATTCAGTTTATGCACCTTGAGGCTAATGAAAAAAAAAGGTTTTTTTGAAGGAAAAGGTATTTAAAGGTGAAGTTTAGTGCAGAACCTATCCTCTGATCAACATTTAATATATAATCCAGAACAAAGACAATTCTGTTTATCTTGGCGCTTCTGAGTTGTTTAATAAATGTTCGTGCTTGTGAAGGAGGGGAAAAGAAATATGAGATGAAAAGTTACAACAATAGTAGCATTTGTCAACTTTAATCCATCTTTTCACATGAGCACACATGCTAAATTTTTTTCTTTATAAAAATCCGATTTTATTCCAATCCATTGGTGCAGCCACTCTGTCAGAATTCCATGGGTTTCAAGGTGCAAAAACCCACCATTACAAGTCCTATTCGCGCTTGCGGTAACTCCGTGCCTGGGTGCGCTGAATTCCTGAAAGAGATGAAACAGAATATGATGATCTGTTTGCAACAATTCTTTTACACTTTTTTCTACTTTTTTCACTTGTAAGAAACCATGCGTAGGGCACACTTCCATTAACTACAATATCATCCAAAGAAGGAGGGAATGTTATCTGATTTTACCACTAAAGTTTCTGGCATGGCTTCTTCTCTCAAAAGTAAAAAAAAAAAAAAAAGAAAGGCTCCCAAGTGTCTGAAATGACATGATAGATTTCATATGAATTCCTTGGCGGTGTGAAGCTCTCAAAGAAACTACAGGAGCACAAGTTTTCTCCTGTCCATTCACCAATTGATGCGTGTCAACATCGGCCAATTAAACCATGTCACGCGAGATGCTGCGGGAATTCCTCGTGTTCTTGGAGCCCTTCTTTTTCGCGATCAATTTGCGACTGTTCTGAATCACCAGAGGCATTATCTTGAAGCTTATGGAGAAGGGGAATCCAAGCATAATAATATGTTCTTGCCTTTTTCTTACTTTTTTTTTCTTTCTAAAATGTCAATGCTTGCATGTACATGGTATTGCATTTACATCTTGGCATGATGCCACAAAAGTTGAATGCAACTGAAAAGGGAGGGTAGGGGTATGTAGAAAGAAGAACATCAAACAGCTACGCAGTACTACCTTTTCCTTTTCATTTGCAACGAACGAAGTACAAGCTCTTGAGACTACCTAGGCAAGAATCCAGTTTCCTTTATGCTGAAATCTTCAGAGTGAGCGGATTAACGGAGCAACGCTGCTCTTTTGTTCCGAAAACGAAAAAAAGAAAAGGAACAGGGCTCTAACATTCGCCAGATCACCCTAGCTAGCTAGGTGAGTGGAGCAGGGAGTTCAAAAAAACAACGGAAATGCACTTCGTTCACACCAAAATGTACGTCTAGACACACAGGAAACATCTCTTATATTTAGGACGGATGCAGTATTTGGTAGAGCCAACCAAAACAACGGAAACAAAATTTGTTGGTCGAGTTTAAATATTTGCAATGTTTGAATTGAAATTTGTTTCAAAAGGGTTCATCTGGATTTTCTGAAATGATTCTGAAATTTGTGAAGAGGCTTAAAAGGTTTTTCAATGGCTAATTAATCTCTTGCATTCAGGGAGGGAATGTGAAGCGGGGCTAATTAAGCCTATGAAATGGCGCCACTGGTCACCTCACCGGTTAGGGCATCGATCGCCTCGTCATAGTGGGGATTCTTGCTCCCTTTTTTCTGAGATTTTCCGCGGCACAGAGAATAATATCGTGGTGTCATCACCACCATCAGCGATTGAATTGAACGCCCCTGGAAACCCCTGGCCCTTCCTATTGTTAGCCGGTGACGGATTTGATGTTTCCTAGCCAGCATTTTCCATGTAAATTGTGTGTACAAGTATAACGAACAATATATATGCATGTTCATGAATTGTAATATTGATCTGATCTCAAAAAAAATATATGGTTCATGAATTGACGTGTTGTGCTGCACGCTGAATCAAAAGAGCTCCTTTTTCACGAGGTTCCTTAGAGAGAGAGCGATGGTGTATCATATCGCATTTTCTAGTGTTAATTTTCTGATATCTCAACCATAGAAAAAAGTACTTCCTCCGTTTCACAATATAAGTCATTCTAGTATTTCCCACATTAATACTGATGTTAATAAATCTAGATACATATATATGTCTAAATTCATTAATATCAGTATAAATGTGGAAAATACTAAAATAACTTACATTGTGAAACGGAGGTAGTATGTATTAGATGGACTCGTGCCCTCTACCGTCACGACAAGTGCCATTGAGACACTAACATATGAACCTGATGGTATTAGATGATCTAAAAGCTAACGTTGAAATAGCGATACGTGCAATACCATCTCACTTGTTAGAAACCATGCATATATAAAATACTACCTTAAATATGAAATAGGAGTAGATGCCGGTGCTATGAAAATGCAGAGAACTACAAGAAGCATTTCTCCTCCGACCCTCTTTTTTTTTGCTCTGTTGAAAACAGCAAAGCATTTCCTCTTTGTTGCCCTTTTGGAATAATGGCGAGGGAGATATAGCTGTGACAAATTGAGCAGGCAGTGACAGATCATAAAGATAATACATAAACCGTGTCACCGTTCACACAATAAAGAAAAAAAAACGACATTATTATAAAAAAGTATATTATTGCTTTTCTCTTCGCACTACTGCAGGACATTGGAAAAGGCATGCATTTGGCTCAAAACCGATGTAAGTTATAGGCCTATAATTTTTTCTCAGGGTAAACTTAAAACGTTGCTTGGATGGGCCATAACCTATTAAATTTACCAGTGTTTTTGGCCCATTCCGACATTTTGATTGTTTTGTTCTCTGATGAGATCATGAGAGAAAAGCAGCAGCAGCTTCGTTTTTTCCTGCACGGTCAAGAGCAGGTTTCCCAATTCATGTTCTTCATGAGCATTGCTATCTAGAATCAGAGCAGAACAATGTAATGGTCCCAAGACACAGGTGATTCTTCAGTTCCCTACAGTTCTTCAGGATTTCAGATCTTGCATGGTCAAGAAGAGCAGGACAAGTGATTATATTCTAGCAATCCGATGGATTAAAAAAATCGTTTTTTTTCCTTTTTTGTGATTATGATTGAGTATCGACTATCAAGGACATGTGTTTATATGCTGCCTGTCACTCTTAACTTAATTACAAGGGTATTCGTAAGGCAACTAGAAAAGATTACAAGTGTGTTCTTGGTGACCTAAAATTACAAGGTGCCTTTACAAGTGTTAAAAAATACTATACTCCCAAGCAGCCCCGCACAGGGTTCAACATTTCGGCCCTTCCGATACGATATTATTTCAGCCGAAATTTTTAATTTTTTTAAAATTTTACGTGAATTTTGGTATTATTTATTCAAAATTGACTAAATTTTGTTCTAAATTTCGGACCAAAGTTTTCGAAATTTCGTCATAGGGGCACCGCCAGATACAAACACCCAAAACGAAAAACGAAAAGTTGAACCTGGCCCTGCACGCATTGCTGAAGAGATCACCGATGGATGGCACGTGCGAGCCATCAGCCATGCGTGCATGGCTGGCTGAGCGACAGGTAACCTACGGGGAATGAAACTTTTTTCCGATGAATAGTGTGGCTACTATCCTCTTTAGTCAGTGCCGGAATCCTATTCCTATCCGATCCGAGCGTCGAGCGATGGATCGAGCCGTGTTTTTGTCATGTTGGTAAAGAGGGGTGCTTGTGCGTGTACGGGCACGGGCTGGACCCGGCCTGACTTTCAAGTTTGTGAGACACTTCATCCGTAGGGAAAACCCCATCAGGCCTTGTTCGTTTAATTCCTCCCATAAAAAAATTAAGAGGGATTTGAAGCCTTGGAGGAGATTTATTTCACATAATATATTATGATGTAGAATTATTCCCCTCTCTTGAGAATTAAAGGACAAAATCTCAGGAATATTGGTGTCTTGATGGCCACCCGTCATAATAAAGGCCCCATTCCTAACACTCCATTCATGTCGGTTTCCGTGAGGATCGGTTTCAGACGTCAGGAGAAGACTGCTTTCTGGTGCGCATGATCCCTCAAGGTGGATCAACCGTACATGTGTTGCTTGTGTATTTGTGTATGGTACGGTCATATATTCTAAGCTATATGAGCGTAAGACTATGAACAATATATAGGCTTTTCATTCGGTCTCCTTGATTTGAATGATGATTTCTTTAGATAACATATAATATCTGGCCTTTACTTCAACTAAAGCTATAGCCACTTAGTACATAATTTTTGGTTGAAAACCAAGTATAACAATTTCTAACAAAGGATAGAGAGACGACACAAGAATAAATGTCATCATCAAAGAAGAGAAAAAACTTATTTAAAGAATAATCCTACTGTTAAATCTCCATTTGAAGTTGACAGAAATTTGCATGGCGGTTGTCTCCAAGTTCCAACATGCAACGTGAATAATCACCATTTTCTCTTCACACCTTTGTAGTTATACCCAAAACCGAAACCAGTATATTACTTTGAAGAGTACCTACATATAAGATTTAGTTAGCGTTTTGTCAAAAACTATTTCATTTCTACTCAACGATAGAGCTCAATATAAAGTAGATGCTATAACTAAAATATGTTTTTTTATCCTTAAACGGTGATTAATTGCATATAAGAACAACAATCGATAATTCAAACAAAGATAGTGTCTAATGCTTGTTATGTGGTCATAAAATGCATGCTGGGAAGGGGAGGGGGTGCACAGGATCAAGGAAAATATTGGCCACATTTCAAGGAATCTACATTAGTGAAAAGGGAATCCCTAGATGTCACCAAGATGAGCCACATCATCAAACAAATATCAACCGTTGAATGAATGATTTGGATAAGGAGAACCGTTGGATTAGTACAGAAAAAATCAGTAAAAAAAAGACAAACAATTTTATTGGGTGTTTTAGAAGCACCTCCCATGAGATGTGTGCTAACAAAGATGTGAAAATGAAAAAAAGAATACCTTAAACATTGACCGTATAAAAGAATATCAATGAGTATTCAGTACTAGTTCTATTGTATCAATAATAATGAGTATCGGTGTATATATGAATAGCTAATTAACCTGATGCTATCGACTACTTCATCACACCTTAAAACTAAAAATCATGTGTCATGATGGGACATAGTAAATTTAGTAAACTTGATTTAACATATGATTATAAGA